GAAAAAGAAGACAATGCAACAGTATTGAAATATTCAATCACTCACTGCCACTGTATCTAGAAAGTGACTAGGATGCTTTAGGCAGCTTTAAACGTTTTAATGTTAGGAGGTGGCAATGGATGAATGTGTCTTTGTTGAATCCATTTAACATGGTAATGAGAAATATATTGCTATAGATAACATCTGTGAAGTATTAAAGGCCACGAAGTGGTTAAAAACAATGACAAAAAGTAGATTTATTCTTATTCCAAAATGTTGAAGTTACTATTAAGCAGGCTCTTTCTTTCCCTCTACCTAAAATTAAAATTAATGCCTATCATAAAAAGATATATGGCAACTAAGTTGGACAATTATTTCTAGCTATTGACCAAACAATGTTCTCATCTCTTCAGCCCACCAATATCACACAATGACAATGTGTTTTCTCAAGGAAGTCAGATATGATCACAGCAGTTTAATAATGGTTTGTGTGACCCATGAAATATATATTAATCTAGAGTTATATTTTTCCACATTTACTACAGTTTCAAATAACAACAGGAAAGTAAGAGTAAGTTTTAAGACTTTAGAATAAGAACACTTTATCTTAGATTAACTTTAAGGTGAGTTTATAATATAGTAAAGCAAACATTAAAATGATGTTCATTAGCTACTTCCTTGATGTAAGTAAATATATTCAATATTTACTTTCATGGGGAAAGTATATTTTCAGATCAACTTGTGTATCAAACTATTAGTATCTTTCCTGTTCACATAAATTCCAACTTAAAATTGAATGAGTAGTCTACAATCAACTTCTATCACTTCTTTTACACTCATTCCCTCTTCAATTTTTTGACATTTAATTTTTATTAAACTTTAATAAGTTGTGTTTTCAAAGATCACCAGATAACTAATTTGATGCGAAGTCAGGTGTCTCTTTTATGACTTCAACTGTTTGATCTCTTTCAAGCACTTAGTGCTGCCCACCCCTTAGCTGCTTCTTTGGTTTCTATAGCACATATCTCTCAGTATTTCCTTCAACTTGCTGCCAGCCACTTGTTTGATCCTTTCAGTTAGTTCTTTCTCTCCACCTACATTTAAGTTGTTGCATCCGTTTTCACTTCTTAATCCACAAACTCTTTTAGGGCCCTTTCATTCTCTCACAGGACTTCCAAACTCATATCTTTGTAATATATGTAATATATATTTCATTACCAGAAATATATGGTGTCTCCAAGTCTCATATCCAATTACACGAGTACCCCAGCCTCACTCAACATGTCTTAGAGACATTTTCTCCTGCAGACCTTATTTTCTTATCTTAGTTAATGGTATTACAACATTCTCAACTGCATAAATTCTAATATTTTACAGAGTAAATAAGTCCTTTCCAGTGGGAACAGTAGACCAGATACTACTAGAGAAGAGAGGGAGGAAAAGGGGCAAGGACTGAAAGACCACCTATTGGGTAGTACGCTATCTACCTGAGTGACAAGATCAGTCACATCCTAGGCAGTATACCTACATAACAAACCTGCACATCTACCCCTAAACCTAAAATAAAAGTGGAAATAAAAATAAATGAATAAAAATAAGTCATTTCCCTTGTATGACTGCAATTCCTAGTACCTTAAGTTTTTATGCTTATGGTAACCTACATATCACATTTGGTAGGCTTCCGCATTAACTGCCTGGGGAAGGTCTTATGATTCATGGCTTACATCCCATCCCTAAGTAAGAATCGTATCTTGAGTCCCTCATATCTTATCGTGAGTTCTTCAAACTGTTGATGTATAATTAATCCATAACCTATTGCCATTGACAAGGACACTGATTTGTTTCTAAATCATGAAGTTATGCTGTTTTGTTTCTGGATCATGAAATTTTACAGATTGTTTTAGGCGTAAAGCATCTTAGCCATTATGCTGTCATCTGTAACCAACAATTGTAACCACTATATAGTACCTGCCAACGTAAAGAAAAAACAAAAACAAAACAAAACAAAACACAAAAACAACTCTTTTTTGTGTATGAGAAATCTTCCTTTCTCTTAAATTTTCTTTTAAAAACGTTCCAATCTGTAACAGATTTTGAAACACGTTTACATTTGTTGGTGTGTCTTCCTAGGATGAGCCTCACATTTGGCTTCCAGAAACTTTTAGCAAATTATTTCTGCCTTAACAGTCTTAATTTCAGTTGATACTTGTTATTTCTGTCCTGGATAGTACAATAATATCTTAACTAGATTCCACAATTCCAAGCAATTCTTTGTGGCTTTGTCAATGTTTTCTTTTTAAAACCTAAATGTGAAAGTGTCACATCTCCACTAAAAAACTAAAATCAGTTGCAAAGTTAAGATAAAATGTCCCAGACTTCCACTGATTTAGTTAATATTACAGCTTTATTTATTCAAGACATTCACCCGAATGTTCCTTGCTTTCTAGCATAGTTATGCTAAATATTGTCTTTTCTGACAGCTTTTGCTTTCTGGAACACCTTTCACTTCATATATATCCATAGGGAAGTTTTTCCAAAGCTTTAGTTTTCAAGGCTTAGTTCATTAATATTGAAAAAAAAAAAAACCCACAAAACCTCTGCAGAGAGAATTAATTAGATTAAATCCCTCCTCTCCTGTCTTTCCATATCCCTTCTTTTGTATCTGACATATAGCCTCAGTAAAATAATTAATATTAGAATACACATATCTTATGGGCATAAGCTCTTACTAGATTGTGACATCCTTAAAGACTATATTGATCTTTAAATTTCTATCATTCATTGGTCGATGATGGGTACCAGATACCCAATATTTTTAATTGTGTAAATAAATGAGTTCTAGTTTTATAGCTGCAGTTAAGAAAGTGGATAAGAAATAAAGTATATAATTTTAAAACACCTCCTATTTCTAATATATTCTACTACCTATGAATTAGTACTGCTGTTTCTATGTCGACTTTGTTTCCTGACTGCCTATCAACTTTGCTTAATAGTGGTTGTTTCTTAATGATTGTTCAATGTGTGTGAGATATCTAGCTTCAACTCCACCCCCTACTCCTGTTGCTGTAAGTGTGAGCAGGCAAATGATAGTAGCTGTGTTAGCATTAATTTAATAAAATGTAAACTTACTTAAACAACTAGTATTCACATTATGGGGCTTCAGAATATTTTTCAGGAGAAAGGCAGAGAGAAGTATATACTATTTCCAATAAGTCAGGAAAAAATAAGAAAATTTTCAAGTTAAAATGCTCTTTAGCCAATCTCTATGACTTAAAACATGTTTTATAGTATTGCCTGGAAATGTAAATTTCTTCCAAAAGCATCTATTGCTTTATTCACTAACTGGTATTTTAGGTACTTCCCAGAAAGAATAGAACTGTCATTACATTAAATAGTATACAATATGGCAACTCTACTTAGTGTTATGTATTCTTATACCACTTTTTTCCATCATGCATTGTTTTTTTCTTCTGTAATTGTTCAGCATTTCAACATGTAAGTCTGAGGTGTGTGGAAATGTCAGAGTGTGAACGCGTGGCTGTCTTTGTACATTATAAGTCTGTATTTATTACACAGATGCCGATCATACTGTCATCTCACAGGGGCAACGCCAACTTACAATCTCCCTATGTTTCAGTTTTTATGTAAGAAAAAAATATATTATGCAGAGTGAAGAATTGGCAGCCAAGAGGTAAATGCTGCTAAATGTCAGTTGACAAAATCATGAGAGCTTACGCACGAGAAACTATATATTTTTACTATATGACACTATATTAGGTTGGAAGAACAGCCTTCTGAAGAGGAGAAAAAAATCTGACTATACTCTGATTTCTTGGAAGCAATCTTCTTCAAGAGAATAAAAATTAATTGCATGTAATTTTTTCTTATACTATTTAGGAAAACTTGTCCAAGTTTTAACAATATAATGCAAGATTATTACTAAATCATCACATTAATGTGTTTTTGTTTTTTTTTTTTTTTTTTTTTTTGAGACGGAGTCTCGCTCTGTCGCCCAGGCTAGAGTGCAGTGGCCGGATCTCAGCTCACTGCAAGCTCCGCCTCCCGGGTTCACGCCATTCTCTGGCCTCAGCCTCCCGAGTAGCTGGGACTACAGGCGCCCGCCACCTCGCCCGGCTAGTTTTTTGTATTTCTTAATAGAGACGGGGTTTCACCGTGTTAGCCAAGATGGTTTCGATCTCCTGACCTCGTGATCCGCCCGTCTCGGCCTCCCAAAGTGCTGGGATTACAGGCTTGAGCCACCGCGCCCGGCCACATTAATGTGTTTTTAAAGAAATGTTCACTTTTAGAAGAAAGTATAACATTTTTCATGAAAAATATTACATGATAATCACTGTAGAGGCTTATATTGACAAATATATGATTTTTGCAAAAAAAAATTTAGCTTAGAAAATTGTAACATAAAGAAATATGTTTTTAGATAACTATAAAAATTCTACGCTAATATTCAGCCACATTTTCTTCTGGTTTTGGGGGTTTCAGTTTTGTTCAATTATGAAATTTTAAGTGCTATACCAAATACTTCATCAAAGTAATTATTCATTGACAAATTTTTCATGAAATCAATTATGTAAACTGTGATCTTTTTCTGTGCCTTCTTTCTTTTTTTTTTTGTTAGGCGCAGCATCATACTTTCCTAAATTATTTAAAGTTTAGAATATGTTTTATTTTTCATCTTTGTAGCTCTTCATTAATTTTCCTGAACATTATTCTTTTATTTGGATTTCACACATGTGTCTTCCATGCAAGGCAATTCTATAAATTAAAAGACCATTTGAATTTGTATTGCAATTGCATGAAAATGCAATAGTCATTCAAAAATAATTCTCTTCTGATTATCAATTAAATTTTAACAAGCTACACCCCCAAACCTTAGTGGCTTAAAATGACAAATATTTTATCATAGCCCGTGATTCTGTGGGTCAATAATTTTGAGCGGATTTAGCTAGACAGTTGTGCTCCACATAGGTTTATGGTGGTAGCAACTACAATTGAGCCAATCAGGAGATTCCAAGACAACTTTATTCAAATACCTAATACCTTAGCCTGGGTAGCTGGAGTGCTCCCTCCCCATTTAGTCTACGGGTCTCTCCACATGGACTCTTCCACAAATTGTTGAACCTCATGCATGGCATCTCAGGCTTCAAGAAACCAAGGCTGAAGCTTCTAGCTTCATAAAAAAATAGGCCTGAAGTAGCAGAGTCACTTTTGCTGTACTCTATTAGTCAAAGCAGTCACAAGCCAGCCAAGATTCAAGGAGAAGGAGCTAGATTCCACTGCCTGAAAAAAAAAAAAAAAAAAAAAAAAAAAAAATTTGCAAAGATTCTGCAGCCATCTTTAATCCAGCATAGTTGACCCTCTGCTCACAATTTACCTGAAGTCTTGTAACATATCAGATACACTTATCTCCTCTCAAGACTCCCAAACTCTGACTCCATTACAGTCCCAGATCAAAGTGATGAAAAGAGGATTTTATCCCTTAAGATGTGGTATGTAGTATAGAGTATAAGACAAGGCTGAAATTCAGCCAATATACATTTGTGGTACCATCCTGGATGTTAAATTAATGAAGTACTTCCAAAGTTTGATTCTGTTTATAATCTCTCAGCTCTGCTCAATTCCTCACCACTGCCCCTGCCTTGAGTTCCTGTCCTTAATCCAGCATTCAGAGTGTTAAAACCTGGCACAGTCAGTGCTTTTGGGGATAAACCTTCAGCAAGAAGGCCCATCTTCTTCCTAATTGCAAAATACTCTTGATAATCTAATTCAATATTATTCATATCGACATTGGAAGGAAGACAAACTAGTAAAATTTACAAATAAATGAGTTTAATACTGTATTATATTATTTATGCAGTAAATAGATTTGATAAGAGTCAGATAGTGATGTCCCAAGAACCTCATTTTCTCCTCCCTTTTGGTATCTTAGTCCAAATCAGCTCACCTAAACTATTCTTACTGTTCCTGGCTGGTAGGGCTGTTTCCAAGGCCTAAGAATGCAGGCCTTATTGCTCTTTGTATACATTTCTTATCACTCTTCCTGGCCCAGAGATACCATTGTATAGAGAAACTAGGTGTTTCCTAGCTCCTAGTAGGGTGCTAACTTATAAATATGGTCTGGAGGTATTTTTCCCACTCTTCTTGGTGTGCTCTGGTTTCATGCCTATGCTTGCTTCTGGCTGAAGCTGGCCTCCCTCTGTGGAAACCTTGGCTGAGGTGCATACAGAACCCCTCCATGCCCCTCCATGTTATGGAATAGAGTTTGGAGGACAGCATGCTCTCTGCTACCTCTCTGATTGTTGATTATTCCCCCTCCCAAATTTTTATAACTGTATTCTGTGGCAGTAGTGGCATGTATCTGTAATGTCCTCCAACCCCACACAATACCATTCAATGAAATAATTAGTAAGGAATATTTCATCATTTTTACAACCATTTTAGATATTTTTGTTTACTTGAAAATGTAATAGCATGTTACATGAAAAACTAAAATGTATAGACTTAGGCAGAAATAATCCATTTGCTCTATCAGTTTCTGCATAAAGACTCAAATATTGCAAAAGTCACTGATTTTCATTAAAATTTTAAAATTTAATAATTCAGTTTATTTACTAGAAAATCTTACATTAAGTCAGTTTCAAAATATTTTTTCAATCGAATTTAATTTCAAAGCATCTGCAGAAAATTAGAATAAACAATGGCACTTTTGAAAATGTACATGTATGGTCTTATCAGCTTAATTATAACTTTGTTTTTGTCATTTCAGCTTCAGCATGTATATCTGGAGCTTGTCTGGTTGGAAATTTAAAACCTATGTTCTAGGAAATGGTTGACATTTTTTAGCAACATGAAGAAGCTTTTTATAGAGCCATTTGCAATCTATTAATTATAATCCACACCACCCATGTCATTATCATGTGAATTGAGCTGAAAGATCTGATCACGTGCTCTTCTGCACAGAGCAGATTACATCTATGTCACTCACTGAGCATTTTAAAAACACATTTTTAAAATTATTACAAATAGATAACATTAAAAAGAATAAGCTTTGGGAAAAAATAAACATGGAAAATATTTTCAGTGCTTGAATCCTGTTGGGATTTAGACTTCTGGATAAATAATATTTTTAAATCTACATTTTTAGTCAATTGTGAAGAAAGGGATCCTGTTCTATTATTCTATCTTGTACATTTTTGTGAAATGTAGGGAAGTAATTGTTTTTTAATAGTTATTATAAAAATATACTAGTAACATATCTATTATTATTTTTGAGGGTGTGTGAGTCACTGTTCTTACCCTTTCTATACAGAACATCTTTTTGAAATAAGGGACATTGGGCTGTAGCTTTTGATAATAATTGTATTATTTTATTTCTTCACTTATTACATTGGATGAAAATTCAAGAATAATGCAATAGCAGTCATATTTCTTAAGATTAAATGGGAATGCCAACACATATGATCTATGAAAGATAAGCTTTATTTTCCCATTTTATTAACAACCTTTATTAATGTCATATATTTAATTTCATCAAACTTTTATAATCTATTAAATAATTATATATTTTTCCCTTTGACCAGTGATGAAACAAATTATATTAATATATTGAAACATTAACAGATTTATCTTTCTTTTTTTGAGACAAGAGTCTCACTCTGTCACCAAGCTGGAGTTCAGTGGCACGATCTCTGCTCACTGCAACCTTGGACTCCCGGGTTCAAGGGATCCTCCTGCCTCACCCAGACTCCCGAGTAGCTGGGACTACAGGCACCCACCACCACTCCCAGCTAATTTTTTTGTGTTTTTAGTAGAGAAGGGGTTTCAACATGTTGATCAGGATGGTCTCGATCTCTTGACCTTTTGATCCACCCACCTCGGTCTCCCAAAGTGCTGGGATTACAGGCGTGAGCCACGGCTCCCGGCCAGATCACATAATCTTTTATGAGAATTCCCATAACAAAATTTACTTTATTACGTATTGTTGGATTTGTTTTGCTAGTATTTTAAAAATATTTTTAAAACTAAGATATTTCTTTAATTTCCAAACATGAGATTCTTTTTTGTGCTACTTTTGTCAAATTTTGGTAGAAGTTTACCAGCTTCATAACATGAATTTAGAAATTTTGTATCCTAGTCTATGTGTTGAAAAACTTTAATAGTATGTTTTAAAAATAGTTATTCTTGGTAAATTTTAGAAAATTGACTTTTTTTTCTTTTTTTTTTTTTTTTTTTTTTTTTTTTTTTGAGACAGAGTCTCCCTCTGTCGCCCAGGCTGGAATGCAGTGGCGCAATCTCGGCTCACTGCAAGCTCCGCCTCCCGGGTTCATGCCATTCTCCTGACTCAGCCTCCCAAGTAGCTGGGACTACAGGAGCCCGCCACCACGCCCAGCTAATTTTTTGTATTTTTAGTAGAGACGGGGTTTCACCGTATTAGCCAGGATGGTCTCGATCTCCTGACCTTGTGATCACCCCGCCTCGGCCTCCCAAAGTGCTGGGATTACAGGCATGAGCCACCATGCCCGGCCCCGAAAACCGACTTTTAAAAACATCCGACTAGAGATAAAAAATTATCTCTAGGAGAGAGAATTATTTGACATATTTTTCTATTTTATTCAAGTTTATTCACCTTGTTTTATTCTCATTTTTTAAATAAAACCTACTGATCATCTATGTTTTGCTACAAATCTCCCATTTGGTTCTGATTTTTCAAATGCTATCTGAAAATATACATAGTAAATAGTTTGACGGTTTTTCTATAAAATATTTGTTTTAAATTTATGTATCTGCTTTCTTTCCTTCCAATTGACTAGGATTTTAAAAGTTTTTATAATAATTTTTAAAAATAATTTTCTATGTATTTTTAATTCTACTATGTAATAATTTTTTCTTTTATCTCTGTTATTTCCTTGTTGCTATTTTGATTTATGCAGTTCGTTTTAAACCATTATCTCTTCTCTCTTCCTGCTTAATTTTAGTCCTTTCTGTTCGCCAATTGAGTCTTTGAGTGTTTTGTTATAAAGGTAAGCATGTTACAACATCTTTGTTGGATTCATTTATGTTTCAAAATTCCTTTGCGACCCCATCACCACCACAGCCCCTCCAAAAAGAGCAAGTTGCCTAATATTTATTCATCCAGTTACACTTTTCCACTTCAAAGCTCTTTAGCTTGGTCTACTTTTATGTAATATTTAATATTTGGAGAAATATTCTTAATTCAATGTATTTCTACCTGACGATTTATTTTCACTTAGTTATCTTTAATAGGCTTATGAAACATCTTAATGCAGACTATTTTTAGTTTTCCATTATGTGTTTTTTTTGGAAACAGGGTGTCACTCTGTTGCCCAGGCTAGAGTGTAACGACGTGATCTCCACTCACTGCCACCTACGCCTCCTGGGTTCAATTGATTCTTAGGCCTCAGCCTCCTGAGTAGCTGGGACTACAGGCCCGCGCCATCATGACTGGCTAATTTTTGTATTTTTGGTAGAGACGGAGTTTCGCCATATTGGCCAGGCTGGTCTCAAACTCCTGACCTCAAACGATCCGCTGGCCTCGGCCTTGGCCTTGGCCTCCCAAAGTGCTGGGATTACAGATGTGAGCCACCACACCCAGTCTCCATTCTGTATTTTAAATGCCGTTCATGCTCAATTCTCTGTATTTTCTTTTCTCCAGCAAAACCAATAGCCTCATATTTTCTCTATACAATACTGATTTAGTCATCTGTATCATTCATGTTGACTTTAATTCTAATACTGTATTTTGTTTCTGTAGTTACTGATCTATTTTTTTTTGGTTTTCTTCTCAGCTGGTCAATTAGCAATTTACTATATTATTTTACCAATTTTTCTATTACATATATTTTTTTAAAAAACATGTGTTCTGGTGGGCAGTTGGGGGAGAGAAATTTTATTGGTAATAAAAGGCAGGAGATTTCTACTATGTTTCTTTCCTTTGTATTTTTCCATAGCATGCCCTTTGTATGCTATCACATTGTCTTATTTGGTTATATAGTTTGTATATTATTATTGGAGAGAACAGTTGTGTGTCTACTTATTCTTGACTGAAGAGGATAATATGCAAGCTTAGCAGGGTAATTTTCATGACCAGCAGCAGGGTAGGAGAATCCTTCTGTTCTTTGGTTGCTCTTAAAATTCTTTTTTCTGATTTTAAGTTACTGACTGGGAGATATAAATATACTTCTTTATTTCATTAATTATTATCATTCTAAGAAAAAGAAAAGCCTTTTCAGGACAAAATTCCTTCCATGAACGCTTTAAAT